ATCCATCCATCTATTATTTATTTGTCCCATCGGCATATGAATATGATAAAGCACTGTTTATAGATCTAGTAGAGCGCTGTATGACTGGGTAAATGAGGACACAGATTGTGTTGTAAAGCACTTTGAGTGTCTGGATAATATAGAAAGGCGCTTTATAAGTACAGTCCATTTACCGTTTGGCGGCTGTGGCTGAGTGGTTAGAGCAGTCGTCCTATAATGCAAGAGCTGGGGGTTCGATTCCACCAGCAGTCACATGTTGAAGAGTTCCTGGGCAAGACACTGAACCCCTCATTGCCTCCGATGTGTGTCCCGTCAGTGTATGAATTTGATCTAAACCACTAATTGTTCTTTGTACAGAAATAGTAAAGTGCTGTATGAGGGCATATATTGTGTTGTAAAGTGTTTGAGTATTTTGATCAGATAGAAAAGCAGTATATATCAGTAAGTACAGTCCATTATCTTTACCCACTGCTTCTATCAAAAACTTTCACATGGCTCACATTGCTCTCCTCTACGATCTGACTGCTCAACTGAGAGATGAACATCGAGCTGCAGTAAAGTGGTAAAGTTTTGGAACACTTAAAAGTGTAAGTACAAGTACAACATGCACACAGTATCAGGCCAGTACTATTCATCTCTAATTTCAGAGGAGGGTTTTTCAATAGATTGTTTTTGCACAAAACTAACAAAGATTAATTGCCCTAATGTGCAATGATGTTAGAACAGGCTCTATGTTCCCGTGTTAATGTAATAGTTATATTAATGCTTTAAATTCTAACGTTTATTTACCTATTGTGTATAACTGTTCATGCATTGCTGAGAAATAAAAATCAATAAATCTATGTTAAGATGAATTTGAATCAAACCTCACTGTGGCGGGAAATAGCGTTAAGTTTTACTTCAGCTCTGTAGTGCAACACACAATTTAACAAACTGTATGTAAACATAAAATATCAGCACATTTTAAAAGCCCACATATAAAAAAGATGGCTTTCTGTGAAAGCACTGGGCAAAAGGCAGTTGAACTTCAGTGCTGCAATTTTAATACAGACTTGTCTGCATTAAAAATTCAGAGCAAGACTTGAAGAAAGAAAAGTGGCCATATGTGGTGCGATGGTCCAAGGCCCTGCTCTCTGCAGCTCTATGCACTGTGTGCTGTACGGACAAATGCTGCCTGTGAATACCATTCACAGCCCAATGGTTGATATCAGAGGAAACTGCTTAATCTGTACCCAAGTGAAATAGTCAGAAAGTGAAATATGATATTGGTGCCAAGGAGAAAGTAAGGATTAATGAATTTTTGAATTCTCTCATTACACTCACAGTTTATACATCCATGATTGTGTGATCTGACCCCATCCTCTTGCTTTTAATCTAAAATAGAAACCAACATCACTGCATCCACACTGAGCTGCATTGTGGCTTCCGGTCTGCAGCTCAACTGACCGAAAACTCATTCGTAATCATGGACATGATTTTTATGGGTCTAAAAATTGTTGCGTTGGAATTCTGCCCTGATATGAAAGCGGCTTTTTGTCCTTCCTTTCAGCTTATTTCTGTCCTGGTGACAAAGTGGAAAAGGATGCATGTGGCAGTGTGGGTTGGACTTTAAAGAGTTCCATTTGGCAACCACTGTCTGTATCCAACATGCTCAGTGCAGGGAGCAGCTGCTGAGAAATCGTGCCGTTTCTCACTAACCCCAGGGCGTTCATAAGCAAGTATGAGCTTTGGTTCAGGGCTATAGGGGAGAAAGTGCACTCGGCTCTGCTGGCTGGGAAAGGCTCTCTGTACCCGGGGAATCTGATATGGACACCAGTTTGGCTGCAGGAGCTAAAGTGAGATAAATTCTTATGTATTTGGTCTGTCTTTTGCAGTTCAAGGTAACAGACAGACGTTTATCTTTTAGGAAATGCCTGTAGTCACATATATTCTTGAGGCATGTTTTCATCTTGAGGAAGGACCTTGAAAAGATAACGGCACAGAAAAAAAAATCAGGTGCGCTGGAATATTTTAGATAAAATTTTAAACGTTTGATAAACTAAGCAAAACCTTTTTACTATTGGGCAGCACGATGGAATAGTGGTTAGTACTGCTGCCTCACAGCAAGAAGGGTGTAGGTTCAATACCTGGTTTCATCTTTCTGTGCGGAGTTTGCATGTTCTTTCCTCCCACAGTCCAAAAATCATACTTGTTAGGTTGCCCATGCCTCCCTTGCAAAAGAGATGTGATCTCAATGGGATTTACCTTGTTAAATATAGGGTAAATATAATAATAATTAAAATTATTATTATTGATATTATTATTAAGACAAGTAAAAGGACCATAAAAATCACATTGATGAAAATGGTCAAATGTTTTACTTGCTACTGCCCAGTTAAGAGCTCAGATGCCTAAACTTTCAATGATCTTAACACCAACTAGGGAAAAGCATCTTAAGCAAAAACATCTCAAATTCATCTGTAATTATTATTAGTTTTCATTAGATTTCAATACTCGTCTCCCGGTCCAATCTACCTGCTCCCCACCCCACGACAAACATAGGTTCATCTTGCAGCAATCCATGGTGTCCACATGCTGTTTTGTCCTTTACTCATGCAGGACTAATTTAGCACGCATCACGCCAAAAACAAATGATTTAAAAGCAGTCTTAACTCAGCTGCTGCTTTATAATTTATAACCATTGCCTCTTTCAAGATTTTGTCTGATAAAACAATCTCCATATTGTTCAGATTGTGATGAATTAAAGTTTACAAAGCCCATATCCCACATCTGAACACTCTAATGAAGTGGAATTCTACTAGCTGAGGAACTTTATTTTACTGGTTTAATTTATCAATATGGAAAAAATATGCGTACATTGGAGCATTAAAGCTGAACTTATTTGTGACTGTCGTTTCCACTTTAAAATCCTTTCAAAATAAACTACAATGGCAGAAACATACATTGGGGACACTTTGTTGTTGTTTTTTTTCTTTTCAGGAGGATTTGGTGGCCTGTACGTGTTGTCAAAATTAAAACACAAAGCACTGTTGGGAAACAACTTGTCATGTCACTACCAGGTGCTGGTGTTTAAAATAAATTAATAAATTTAATAAAGAGGTCTGATGGTCTACCATTGGTTGGTGATTGTTGTGCATGTGAGCACTGTGTTCAAACTGAAAATGAATGTTCCATGTTTTCATACGCAAACGACATTAATGTTGGAAAAGAAATGATTCTATGAATAGTTTACATTAGATATTTTGTCTGTTAATCAAACCTAGAATCACTTTATTCACACTTGTTGAACAGAGCAAAAAATTACTTGACAATGGGACAAAAAGTTGACAAGAAAAAAAAAGTAGAAGAGACAGTGTAGTGCAAGAGCAGTAGAGGTCTACCATTAACCAGAGTATGTGTTCAATGTTCAACGTGTTCAACTTAATGTTACTCCAGTTATCTAACTGTTAACAATGGTGTACCACAAGGTTCTGTCTTAGGACCCAGCCTCTTCGGAATCTACATACATTACAGTTCTATGCTGATGATACAGTTGTTTATTGTCTAGCTAAAACAGTTGCTAAGGTTTTCCAGCTTTTGCAATCTGCTTTTGACATCATCCAGATTTGTTCCGTCTCAAACTTGTACTAAATGCAGACAAAACCAAAGGGATGTTGTTTTCAAACAGGAAGTCAGTCCCAGCAGTCCTTCCCTCGATTTTATCTTTGAATGGTGTTCCTTTTGAGTTTGTCGATTTGTATAAATACTTGGGTATCTTGGTCGACTCGCATCTCTCTTTTCAGCCCCACGTCAAAAACTTGGTTTAAAAAAAAAAAAAACTGAAAGAAAAACTGGGTTTCTTTTTCAGAAATAGATCCTGTCTAACTCTGAACGTTAGGGAGCACCTTGTAACTGCGACTTTCCTTCCCTCCATTGACTACAGTGTAGGGGTGCAAACCGATCAATCGGCTGGCCGATTTATCGTCCCCGATTTTCTTATTTTTGGGAAATCGGAAATCAGCTGATACTTGCATGAGAAACCGATTTTACCGATTTTTGTAGTTTTTACAACAATTGTCTTAACTTCATTTATATTTCAGAGCACTACCTCATGGCCAATTAAAACAAGTTTGTATTGTTTCTAGGATCTTGTTCAAGGGTATTTTTTCAATAAAATAATTTAGGAAAATTGAAAGTGCATTGTGACCTTAACACCTGTCAGTGTTGCTTATAAAATAAAATCTGTATCGGCAGGTCAGGCTTTTTAGAAATCCATGATCGGCCAGAAAACTGCAATCGGTTCACCCCTACTACGGTGACATCATTTACATGAATGCTCCTGCAAGCACCCTGCAGATGTTGGATGCTACCTATCATGGTGCACTAAGATTCACAACTGGCTGTAACTGCTGTACCCGTCACTGCACCCTGTATTCACTGGTTAACTGGGCATCATTAACTTCATACAGACTCTCTCACTGGTACATTTTCATCTTTAAATCACTTCTTGGTCTGCTGCCTTCATGCATCTCTTACATGTCTGAGTGAGTGCAGCTACAGCGTGCGCTCTCAGGACATTATTACCTGCAGTGTCCCCTCAGTGATAACTGAACTAAACAAAAGGGCCTTCTACTCCGCTCCCGTTTCCTGGAAATCTTACAAAAAGATCTGAATCTCTTGACCTTGACCTCTAAGTGGCTTCAACTATCTGCTAAGTTCCTGACAAAAAAACAATGCAATTTTAGTATTTTTATATTGCTTTATAATTTAGCGTTTTTATTTTTTATTTTTTACATTTTCTTCTATTTATTTTATTTTTTTCAATTTATATGCCTTATTTTGTGATTGTCTACTGTTACTGTCGTAGACTGTTGTCATCATTCTTTGTTAATAACAGGTCTCTCTTATAAATTAGTCCTCGAGGCTCATTGAGACTAACCTGTATAAATAAGGGTTGAATTGAAAAAGAGTATAAAAATGTATTTAACATGTATTTATTTTATCTTCTGTTTGGTTCAAAGGTACGACCTGTTAAAGAAGCAGCTTTTCCTGCTGGAGGAGGCGGAGGGAGGTTTTGACAATTTCACACGAAGTTACCGGACCTTCGGTGTGCAGCGGCACTCCGACAACAGCCTGTTTTTTAAGGAGTGGGCTCCAGCTGCTGAGGCCCTCTTCCTTACGGGTGACTTCAGTAAGTAGCTTGAGGGAATCCGTATCCCTAAGACGAGTTTGATGCGAAATTTAGGTTTTGACCTAAGATTTCCTGTGATTTATTGCTGCCAAGTACTGCACAAGCTGCATTTTTAGATTAGTGTTTCATTACATGCAGCAGTTCTTAAGAAACTGTTCCTTCCTTGATGTAAAAATGCGTTAAAGATGAGTTGCAGCTGTAACCCCATTGCTTCATTTCTCTTGCGACCAGTTCTTTATTGTGTTCGGAAATTTCATTTGTCTTGACAGCTGTCTTTGTGTTTTAAATAAGTGTGCAACAGGCTCATTGAAGTTCCAGAAATCAGATGCAAAAATAAATCGGTATGCCGAATAATGAATACAGTGTCAAAAAGTTAAGCTGTTTCAATGTGTTGACCAATTAGAAAGAGATTTCACTGCAAACAAAGAGTAGTTTATCAGCATGGAACATTTTAAAACGAAAATTAAAACTCCTGAAGTCAAACGAGGGTAAAAATGCATGCTGATTTATTTTGAAAAATCCAACTGGGATGTGAAAGTGTGGAAGATATTGATTACTCTGGATAAACTTGCATATTAAAAGCTGATCTTTTGAATGTGGGAGTATTGGTTAATATTTTAGTAGCTGGTTATTTCATCATCATTGCTTGAAAGTTGTTGAAAGAGTGCAGCCTGCATGTTTTTCACTGAAATCTCCTCTCCCTCAGGTCCTGACACTGAAAGTAAATTGAAGTCAATAGACTTTTGGATGTTATTTTTGTAGGTGTTGGGAATGCCTTTTGGGAAACAAATGGGGAAAATATCAATAACAGAGTATTTTTTATCAAATAGTCTATTAGGTTGTACAAAGTATTATATCATTCTTAGTTTATTTTCAGTGTTTTAACAAAAATTTAGCTTAAACATACACATTTTATTTAATATTAATAAAATTGTAGCATTAGTTGTTTTCATCTTTACACTGACTTGGCATTAGTATTTTTTATTTTTTATTAATGAAGACTATAGAGAAAGCAATTGGGGGGAGTAGTGGCTCAAAGGTTAGAGAATGTGGGCTGGTTCAACTCCCCAGACCACCATCAGAAAATGTGGGCAGGAAAGGTGAAACGTCCTTTTTTGGCCCATTCTGGGCCCTTGAGCAAGGCCCTTAACCCCCACCATCTGCTCCCCTGGGTGCCCTAGATGCCAGCTCTCTGCTCCACACAGAGGGCTGTGGTAGCTCGGTGGTCGCATCAGGAAGGGCATCTGGCGTAAAAACAATTGCCAAGTCTTTGTGTGAGTTAGCTCACTGTAGCGACCCCCTGAGGAAGGGAGCAGTCGAAATAAAACTAACAAAAAAAGTAAAATAAATAAAAAATAAAGAAAGCAATTCTTTTTTTAATGCAGCTGTGTATCTAATTCATAACTGTTGAACACTGACGTTGGATACAATTTAAGGTTTTATTTATTTTTATTATGAAATATCTGAAATAAGTACTGAGCTTTTTATTATTGCAGAGAAGCACAAACAATTCAAACAGCCACACTGAGGTCATTGAATATTTGCCTTTATTTGAATATTTTAGATAATATCTAACATTCTGCTAGTTCAGTCAGAATAAAATCTCACTGAGCCCTATATGCTCTTTGTTTTTCCCTGCATGGCCAGATTATACTTTTGTCCCAACAGACAGTATAATCTGGAACCGATGGGTGCAGGCAGATGGCTGCATGTACCAACCCACCAAGGTTCTGTCTTTTTCCCAATGACTGTGACAGCTTGTGAGCTGCAGTATTCTGACATGGAGCTATTCAGGCTTCTGAACTGTTTGTGTCACCACATTGTTCCTCTGAAGTTTTGGTGGCTCTGGTCAGTCACAAAGAAAAACACCCAGAGTATTTGGTGTGCTGACCAGTTCTACATGTAAGTTCATGCTCAATAACCCAGGTAGAAAATCCAACAAGTTTCAGTCAGGTCACCTGGATGCTTTTTTTTTTTTTTCTTAGATGTTTCGTCCTTCATCCATAGGACTTCATCAGTCCGAGAAGCCACAACAAACTCAGTCCCACAAGCCGCACACTTACATAGTGGACCAACCAGTTTGCTGGTGATAAGATGGATTCTGGGGCCCTCCCTCCCTAGACCTGTCACGATAAACAATAAATCAATTAATAGCACGATAATTGAAAATTATCAACCTCATTTTCATTTATTGGCTTTATCGTTTTTTCATTTTTTTCTTTTCTCTTTCTACTGAAGACACTGGATGACAAAAAGCTCAACTCCGGTGCTCTTCACGGACCCCTCCCTTTCTCTTTTCTCTTTAAAATCAATTTGAACTGTCCAAAATCAACATTTTTGGATTGTTGAAAGCAGGTAAGCTGAGAAGTTAAGCTATGAGCTAAGCTAACAGGCCGACCTCGGGGAAAACAACTCCATCTTGTCGAAGCTCCAAAATTCACAGTTGAAATCTGTCCCTCTAAAATAGTTTTTCTCTGCAAAAAGAAGCTGAGAACTTGTTTACTGATATTTTATTAAAAGCTTTGTGTGAAAAAATGCTATGCTAAAGAGCTCAAACCACACCAAGCATCCGCCATTTTGAGAACTGAATCGAGACAGCCTATGTCACATCACAGGGCTTCCCTCCCATTTTTCTTAGACACGCTGCTCGCTCCCTCACTATCCATCCTTCAGTTCAAACAGTCTTATACTGCCATCGAAAAAAGGTACTACACACAAAACAAATTAACAAACATTTCTTCTTAAATTTGACAATAATTACTAATTATTGTCAAATTTCAAACAATATAATTTATCGCGATAATTTCTGAGACAATTAATTGCTCAGCAAAATTTGTTATTGTGACAGGCCTAGCCTTCTCCCCCATTGACCCCTCTGAGGCAGCCATAGCCAAAGTGGTTCAAAACATCAAAGTTCATTCTCAATAATCCAGGTAAAAAGTCCAACAAAGTTCAGTCAGTTCAGTCAAAGTTCAGGATGAAGGATGAAACATCTCAACAAACAAAAGAAACCGTCCAGATGGCTTGACTGAGCTTGGTTGGAGTTCTGCATGTGTTACAAGGACAATCACACAAGGAGAAGTCCAGCAGTACTGCCAGCACAAAGTTACTCCACTGATGTTGAAAGATCCAGAGAAAACCCGAGAGCAGTGATTGGCCACGCCCTGGCTCTTTCATTGCGCTGGTCGTAGATAAAATTGTTTCCTCTACTCACCAGGATCCAGAGCACTCGCCAGGACACACACAATAAGAAAACTACCTATATTCTTATACACAATACAACTCCTACCCACTTGAATATCTTGCACCAAAAACATTAAGGTTTACTTCTATTCCCGGTTCAGTTCCAGTCTAGAAGAACTTGGAAAATCTCATCTCGAAAATCTAAAGCTTTCACTGTTCAAATCCCACAGCGACGGAGACATCGATGTACCGCTTGTCTTTCTTGGAAACCTTTGATTATATGTAATATTCATACAAGTTATTGAACACACATGCTGCTGTAGTAAAGCAATACTATTAAAACATGCCTGCATACAACACATAAGCTTTACAAAACAAAATAAAATGTAGCTCTTGAAAATGCAGATTAAACCCAGAGGTGGCGAACAAATTTCTTAGTATTTCAGGGCGTACCAGATTTCTAAATGTGTCTGTGATGACATTCCTGTGCTGTTGCACTGGCAACATATGAGTTTTTTTTTTTTATCAACTAGTTTCATATGATAATGGTTTGCTAGAAAAGAGAGAAGGAACTTTAACAATAACAAAGAATTTAGACCCAAAACCCGGGGGTCCAAAAAGAGTAAATGATTCAAATGGAAAGCTAACTTGTCAAGGACAAACTTCATGAAATTGTTGTCCCTTGGGGAGACAAAAGTTTTGCACAGAGCACTGTAGCACCATACAACTCTTATCTTTATGCAACAGTAAAGTAGTGATACGAGTATTGGTAAAAATGGCAGTGCCGTTTGATTGCTATGTGCAAAACTGAAATGCGTCAGTTATGTTTTTGTCCATTTTTGTGCTAGTTAGTTTGGTTTTTGCCGTCCACTCACTCCACATTCTTCCCACTTCCTTTTTCTTTTTAATTATCTTCCCAGGACCTTAGGCAACCGCTCAATTTCAACATTCAATTCTGTGAGAGATTACATTTTGACACGGCTCAGTCATATTATTTGATTTCAATTTCATAGCAAATGTGGAAACAGCCCAGCAGCCCTAGTCATGAATATGGTGCAGGCTGGGATGCATAATGCACTGTTTTTCTGGGAAGTTTTAAGCAAAAGCAGATAAATAAATTGTAAATAAATAAATAAAACAAATTGAACTGCCTGTGAAAGGTGCTCGAGTTGCACCCAGTTACGTCTCGAATATCTTCTGCGCTTCATTTCTTTTTACCATTTGTTTAGTCTCTGCTTATGAATAGTGAGCAAAGAAGACATTATGAAATGAAAACATCATTAAAAGTCCGACTACGATGGTCACTTTATAATAAACGTTTTGTGTTGTCAGTCAGTGACTGTTGGCTGTGTAGTATCAGCAGATTACAAATGTGATGCAACTTTGTTGCTCCCTCAGAGATGAAACTCAAAGAGCGGTCTAACAAGGTTAAATCAGGTCCTCTGGACGGATTCTTCTTTTGTTGAAACATTTCGTCTTTTATCCACAAGACTTCTTCAGTCTGTTTTGCTCTAGGTGCAGGGTTTTCAGTTTTTCTTTTACGTATTTGTTTCAGAATGATTCCCACAACTAATACACATTAGCTATCGCTGAATGGCAAAAACGCTGTCTCTTTTACAGAAACTGAGCCAAAGTTTGATGCATTAAAACACTCCAAATGTGCAACAAATTGATATTACACACACAGTTATTGCACTTATTCAGTTCTTATACAGTTTTTGTTAAGTTCAGTAACGACTGACGGATAAAAACTATTAAGTCAGTTTGTTCTTCTCTTGATTGATCTGTACCTTTACTTTGATGGTCACAGTTCAAACAGATCATGTCCAGGGTGAGACGCAGTGGCGACTTTAGCCTCGTTTTCGGGGTGCTCAAGCATCCCTAAATTTTAACAGCACCCCTGGGTGGGGGGCGGGGAAATCATCATTAGGATTGTGTAAGAAAGCTTAGTTCTCAAACCTTAGCTTAGATTCACTAAAATATTTAATAAATTTAGGATAAATGACGCAAACAGGCCAGTAAAATCTATGATTTTATTGCATAAGTTGGATCCTCTATGCCACCTGTCAATCAATCCAGTAGGCTTGTCAGCAACTGACCAATCGGTGATCTCAGTTTGTCCTGAAGTGAAATGCCCCTTACCTTCAGAACTTGGTGGTGGCGGTGGTGGTGGTGGTGGTGGGGAGTGGTTAGAATGTGTGAGAGAAGTGGAGCGTGCTCTGTTCACACAAGGAGAGCTGTTGGTCAGGCTACTTCTTATGTTATGTTTGTTTATTTGACACATGCAGGTTAACACAAGGTCAACAATGCAAAGAAATGAAAAGTACAAAATAAAGTACCAAAAAGTAATATGTTATTGAGAAATATAGTCAATAACAAAATGGGAGAACATAATGGTGCAAATAGGATGCATGAGGATAAATAAGTATTTCACAGGTAGTACTATTAGCTTAATGTTAGCCTCTTGTTGTGCCGTGCTCTCTAAAATAGTTATTGAATCAAGTGTTTACTTATGTAGGTAAATGTAGATGTTTAAAAACTCATTTAAACACACCAGAATGCAAGAAATGACATCTACTTTATTCATAATTTCTGGGGGAGAAACCCCAGACCCCCCCAACATTGTCCCCCTCCACACACACACACACACACACACACACACACACTACAAATGCTTTTGACACAAATGGACACTGTGTTGTTCATGGCAAGAGCCATTATCAACACTGGGGGCTGAGCACCCCTAAAGGTTAGATTGTAGAATCGCCCTGGTGAGTTGTGTCCTTTAAGATGTTGTGGACTTTTCCTATGCTGCAGGAGCTGTGTAGATCTTCCAGTGAGAGAAGAGCCCACAATCTTTTGGGCTGTGTTGATAACTCTCCGGAGTGATTTCCTCTGAACCACTGTGCAGCTAAGATGCCACACAGTGAGGCAGTATGTTAAGATGCTCTCTGTGGAGCATCAGTAGAAAGGCACCAGCAGTCTCTGGGTGATGTTGTTTCTCCTGAGCACTCTCAAGAAGTACAGTCTCTGCTGGGCCATTTTCAGCATCTCAGAGGAGTTCACGCTCCAGGTCAGATCCCCCTCAATATGGACTCCCAGGAAACAGTAGTCATCTTTTCTCTCCACACTGTCTCCACTTATAATCAGGGGTGGGACCGCCATTTTCTTTTTCCTCAAGTCGAGGATCAGCGCCTTAGTTTTTGAGGTGTTGAGGAGCAGATTGTCCCCCCTGCACCAAGCAGTCAGTTGTTCCGCCTGGTCCCTGTAGGCGGACTAATGAGTCATGAGGCGTGATGAGATCACGCAAAATGTTATTTTCAAGGTCAGACTAAAACAACCACAACTCAGTCATTGCTCAACATGATTTTAGTCTAAAACTCTGGCATGAAAGGCAGTGGGTGATATGCATTCCTCCAAGAAATGATAGACCTTGATTATACTGTTAATTAAGAAAAGAACTGTGATTGATCTGCAGCTTGTCCAAGGTGTTCCCCTCTCCTCTATAACTGCTGGAGAAAGTCACCAACTCCCCACAAGCCTGAAGTAGAGGCAATTAAAGATCATGTGACCGCATTAAAAAAACAAGTTTGGTCACTCGAGACATTGTTGTGTCCTCTCATAATAAACAAAAACTACAAACAGTTATTTATTTATTTATTTACATTTGACTGTAACTACTTTGGAAACCATTCAGCTATTTTATTTGTTCATAAATCAAATCAAAATGGTCAGCTTGTTCAGAAGATTACCATTATAGCTTAATTTTTGTAACTATTATTATTATTATTATTATTATTATTATTATTATTGGTCCTAGACCTTTGCTCTGCGTAATCTGCTTCATTCAATGGATTATTGAGCATGAACTTTGATGTTGCTTCATTCTACCTGCTTCAATTTTTTTACTTTAATTTTAGATTTTAGCTAATGTTTGGCTAGTTTTAGCTGTTCTGCTAATTTAGGCATTTGTATTGTTCTGCTTTTAGCTTTTAGTATTAGTTTAGGTAATTTTAGCATTTGTTCCTATATTTTCAACTTTATTTATTCAGTTTGTTTTTTCAGCAAAGCCACTGAGCACTCATTCACACTGCATTTTTGCATAAATGCACTTTTAGTCATTTTTTGGTTGTTTATTTAAAAGTGTTTGTTAGAAAGTGGTAGTGGGACAAACAATGAAAATGCAGCATCCATGTGAACTAATAAAACACTCAACAAAAAGCAAAATTATAAGACAGTGTTGGTTTTTTTAAATTATTCTCTTATGAACTTGAATGACTAAATTTACTTAAATTGCTACAAATTAAAATAAAATCAGTTTTGCTAAAATATTACAATATTCCTTTTTGTGTTTTTCTTTTAGATGGCTGGGACAAATTCTCCCACCCTTACACCAAAAAAGAATTCGGCAAATGGGAGCTGATTATTCCACCCAAGCATGACAACTCTCCAGCCGTGGATCATAACACCAAACTCAAGGTAGAGAACAGAACGTCTTCGTGCTTATTGTCACGTCCTCGCCGAGCGTCATCGGGCCGTGGCGGCGCTGACAGTTGTCGCCATCAGGTTCGGCGAGATTACATGTCGTGCGGTGTCTTATGAACCAAGTGTAACTTAGTGTGTTGCCATCAGCAACATGTCATAATCACAGTGCGGGAGTGAGATTGTTGTATGTACACAGACTGCACAGTGGAGGGTAGATGCACGCGAAGTGCCCAACTGATGGCTTTGTTTTCAGCTTCCGTCTGTGGCAGGCTCCCCTCAGGGCTGTGTGCTGCGTTTGTCTGCTACACCAGCCCACAGTTGGCGTACATGATTGGTTTTAAGCTCCAGTAAAACTATTCCTCAGGGTTAAATAGAAAAGATGCCCCTCCCTCTTACGCATTGTCTCAGCATGGATGAGAAATAACCCAGAATTGCGATGCCAGGCATGAAGAGGATGGCACCGCAACAACACTCTCCTCTCCTTGGGAATGGGTCACCATTGGCACACGCCTTCGCCCTGGACAGGCTGCCCAACACCCATTGTCTGCAGAGGTCATGCTAAGGACGATAAGAAGCAGATGGAAACGCTGGCACCTGGCGTTTCCTTGCGCACCCCCGCTGCCTCTCAATGGCTGTCTTGCTGTGAGCTCCACTTTTGAATTAGTTCCACAGCTCTCCCTTGTGGACGCGGTAGCCTAGCTCCAGTCACTCTCATGGAGAGCAGTTTGCCCTCCCAGCACCCTTGCTCAGGGCCTGATGTATTTTGTTTTTTTTTGTTGTCTTCCCATAAACAAAAAGTGTTCCTCTACAACCAGCTTTTAATAATTCAAGTACGGTAGACTGCAGGAAAGTGAACTAAAATATTATACAAGTGATTTTTCATCTGCGCCTTAGTTTTTGCTCATCAGGCACCCCTTCAGGCTGCCCAGCAGTCAAAGATTTTTTTTAAATATCTCTAATGCTGGCCAATTTATCTGAAGGTCCAGTGCTCTGATGGGCTGTATGCCAGTCCATTTATCCAACTATCTTTTCCTAATCCTGTAAACTATGAGGCATGTCATACAGGGAACCAGGCAGCTAACCCCAGGGTGGGCTGCCCATAATGAATAAACCCCAGAGGGGAGTCTGGCTACTGGCTCGCAGGCAGGTGGCACTGGAACGGTCATTACTTCACAACAACAGCTAGATTTACTTGGGTTCTATTGCCTGTTTCTGCAGGGGACAAAATGGGGAGAACACTGACTGTGGCTAATACATCGATTTCTTGGTGGGCTATGCCAACTCCCACACTGCTTTTCTTTCTCATTTTACAACGAAGGCAAAGTCACTTGTCAGATTTCAGAATGTTTATTTATTAACAATTTCCGAAGCCGAATTGCAGACAGAATAGATGAAACTCAAAGAATGATTTAGATGTCCAATTTTTTCCCCCCCCCGAATTGCTCCCTGGCTCAAACCCCTTCTGGAGATATGTCAATGAATCGCTGTGATAAAACCTATAAAAGAGGTAAATATAATACGACATAATCACCGCTGAATTCAGGTTCACACAGACGAGCGTTCTGGTTCAATACTGTAGCTTTTTGTGTTTTCTGCGCTCGTCTGAGAAACGGACGCATTAATTTGAGAGTTTTGCAGCGGGGAACAGGAAGTTGTGTAGAAGGGAGATGCTTTTTATGATGAAAGACTTTTTAAAAATGTTTGGTTTATTGGTTGAACAATCTGCACCATCTCTCTCTGTAACGGATGGGGAGTAACGGCACAGTTTTACGATGTAAGCATTTCATGGCTGGAAGGCGGAAATAAATGCAGACTGTAAGATCGCAAACATCCAGTGGAAAAACACGAAGACTCAGATTAATATTGAATTCTTGATTTTTTTGGGGGGCATTATACGTTTTCATTGTTAATCGTAGGTGTTCTTTACTTGTTGCGATACTTTATCTCTTTGGTTTGGCCTTTTTTTTTTTTTTTTGCTGTTTATTGTTCAGATTTGATTTTTTTTCCATCACACCGAAAGTTTTGTCTTCATCCAGTAATTTTCTATCATTCTTTTAGTGTCCTTTCTAAAACACAACACTCATTTATCTTATTTCTCCAGGTGGTCGTTCACACCAAGGAGGGTGAGCGCCTTTACCGGATCTCGCCGTGGGCGAAATATGTGACGAGGGAGGAGAAGTCGGTCATCTATGACTGGGTTCACTATGATCCCCCTCAGCCTTACGTTGTAAGTTGGAATTTAGTGGACATTTAAATGTTTTCAGTGAATATAATTTTTGGCTGTTTGTGTATTCGCTTTTACATGTCATTTTTATGTAAATTGATAATTTTGCGTGAAAACCTTTAAAGACCTACCATTCATTGAATAAATTAAAATTGCTGACTTCCTTTCATGGCAGAGCTTTAGACCAAGATCTCAGAGTATGGGTTCAGGATGATGCTCTGACCACACCACATCTTAGCCTAATGGTTGTAAAATTGACCGAGTTATAGCCATTTGTGTTTGCGAACGTCCGTTAGCTGTGGTGACCATCTTGAATTGGGTTGACTCCAAATATTATATGTTTTATCTTTATTTATTACCGTTATTTAGGGCCAGTGAACCAGTTGGTAGAGCTGTTGCCTTTCTGCGAGAAGGTTGCCGGTTCTAATCCTGGTCCAGGACTTTTCTGGGTGGAGTGCATGTTCTTTATGTGCATGTGTGGGTTTTCTCCGGGTACTCCGGTTTCCTCCCACAGACCAAAAACATGCAACATGCATGTTAGGCTGATTGGTAAATGGTCCCTAGGTGTGAGAGTGAATGGTTCTTTGTCTCGTTTGTCTCTGTGTCCCTGTGATGGACTGGAGACCTGTCCAGGGTGTCCCCTGTCTCTCACACAGTGATGGCTGGACATGGGCACCAGTGACTCCCGCGACCCCAAAAAAAGGAATAAACAGGTAAAGAGAATGGATGGAACCTTTATTTAACCAAGTAAATCCCATTGAGATCAGAACTTTTTTATAAGGGAGGCCTGGGCCTGAAGTTTTTTTTTCCTTTACTTTGGGAGGAAACTGGAGTACCTGGACAAAACTCCTACACACAGAAAGACGGAACTGGGAATTGAACATAAAATCTTGCTGTGAGGCAACCGTGCTAACCACTAAGCCATTGTGCTTCCCACTGAAAACAATATTTGAAACTTTGATTAATACCAGATTTTTAAGTCGATGTTTGATTTATGTTTGTACCCCATTACAATTTTATTGTTTGAAACTTATTTTTATTTTATTTTTTACAAAAAAGTTATTCACGTTGATCAAAATTACGTCAGGTCCTCTGGACTGTTTTTGTTGAAATCGTTTGTCTTTCATCCAAAAGACTTCATCAGTCCAAGGAGCTGCAAGAAACTCAGTCTTATAAATAGCACCTTCTCATAGTGGGTCAACCAGTTTGATGGTGCTCTGGTAGTTTCTGTAGTCCGCCCTCTCCCCCATCATCTCGCCCTCTCCCCCATCATCTCGCCCTCTCCCCCATCATCTCGTTTGTGGCAGTCATGGCCAACGTGGTTGAAAATATCCTGATTCGTGCTCAATAATCCAGGTAAAAAAATCCAACCAAGTTAAGTCAGGTCCTCTGGACGGTTTCTTTTGTTGAAACATTTTGTCTTTCATCCAAAAGACTTCTTCAGTCCAAGGCCATTTCTACTTGAAACGAGTCAGTGGGGGAGAGGGTGGACTACAGAAACCACCTGAGCACCATCAAACAGGTTGACCCATTATGAGAAGGGGCCATTTACAGTTTCTTGCAGCTCCTTGAACTGATGAAGTCTTTTGGATGAAGGACGAAACGTTTCAACAAAAAGAAACCATCCAGAAGACCTGACTTAACTTTGTTGGATTTTTCACCCTGGATTATTGAGCATGCATCAGGATACTTCACGTTGAGTTCACCGTCTCTTCTCTACGTGGACTCTTCTATTGTACATTTCCCTCCCACAGTAATTAAGTGACTACTTCATTTTATAAAATTAGTCTCACGTGTCGTTTGTGAAGCTGTTGCTTTAATCTTAAAGTGGATCCTGGATGCTACAGATTTAAGAGGGCCTGAATGTGTTTCAATGCTACTTGATGTTCTTAGCTCAAGAGTGAACTGGGGGAGGGGGCACTAAGAGGCCATTAGCGTCCACCTTGCTTTCCTTATCGTTCCTTATTCAGCACGGTTTTAATTAGAGAGGTCCTCTTATGGGCTGCATGTTTGTTTTATTTAAAAGTTTCTCAGTCGTGTATTTCAGCTACAGGGTTCAAGCACTCGTGGGTAATTATCTGGAAATTTCTATTTTATGAAAACAAATCCCTCGCCTGTTGCATAGCAGAAAAAGGTAACGTTAGATATGCTAATGACCAACGTATGCACGGAGTGATTCAGTCCCACGCATTTTGGTTTCTCAGGAGGTGTGTTTTGAAGCATCTGTTTCACACTTTGCATTGCTTTTCTGCCTACCTTTGGTTTTTCCCTCCAGCACATCCACCCTCGGCCCAAGAAACCCGCAAGCCTGAGGATTTACGAGGCTCATGTGGGCATCGCTTCACCAGAGCCAAAGATTGCCTCATACACAAACTTTACATATAACGTGCTTCCACGAATTAAAGACTTGGGTAAGGTTTGAGAAAACTTCACCTCCAAAATATTCGTTTTCTTCCTTTTGACCTTCCTACAACCTTACTGGCCTTTTTGAGTTTAATACTCGTCAAACCACATTTGTTGACTTGGTTCGAAATAATTTAACACCTCCTCTTGACAAAAGAAAGTGAAGCAATAAGACGATCATATACCTTCATACACATGCCTGAACTTCAGAAAAAATGAAATAAAAGCACCTGCCTGTCTGTTAACACTGGCCTGGAACATAATAGACATGCCATGCTGCAGCGAGTGCCACTGTTCCTCCAGGATCACCATTTGCTGTGGCAGACCTGTCAAACTCCCTCTGTTTCAAAAATAAAAAAGCAAAGCAACAACCTTTTGTATTGGCAGGACCCAAAGAAACTGCTGACCACTGGGCAGTGTTTTAAAAAGAGGCTTCCACAGTTCAAGTTGTAGCAAAAAGCAAAACTGACAACTTGTTTCCATTTCCATGACCATGACTCCAACAGCCAACAGTGGAGGAAAATATCATTTCTTTACCTTGTTCCTCACTCAACAACCAATATGATGCAAACTTGTTTAGATTTGCTTTAGTACTTTCATCATGATGCATTGTTGCATTTAATAAAAATATTTTATGCCATATTATATTGAATTACCTGCCCTTCCGTTTTCCTTATTTTTTCTTTTTGTTCAACTCAATAAAAACCTTACCACATCTTTTCTTTGCTACAAACAGATATTAAAGTTTATTTATTGAAATCAGTAAATGAGTACATTTTTACTGACAAAATATTTTAACATCTTTAAATTAATAAACTTACTTTACTGCATACTAGGGATGTGCGATATGGCATGAAATTCATATCGCGATATCTAGTGTGATGGCGATAACGATATACATCACGATATGTTTTTGGTATAAAACTTACAATAGGAATGAAACAAAAGCATAGGGTGTCATTTTGCCATCATTTCTTTTGAAAACTGCTATACCACAAAATGATCTCAATCAAGAAAATTCCACAACTAGGTTCAGAGAGTTTTAAAATAATTAACAAATCAAGTATTAGGCTTCTTTCTTGTAGTGCAAAACAGTGCAAAAGATATCAAATGTAGTTTTAGCCATATGTTTTAAACAAAAGAATGTTAACTCAAAAGTTTCCAGTCTTCTCACTTAAGAAATGAACAGCAACAGAGCAGCATTTTACACTGAAAACACTTAACCCTCCAACCCTCCAGTGGGCGTCTCCTTCCATTTTAAGGAGAGCTGACACAAAATGGCGACCAGTTTCCTCTGTGGCTTTGACCAGAGGGTCTTGCAGTAAAACCACACAACACATCGTTCTTTTCACAGATCAGAGAGCAGGTTTAACCTTTTTATTTAGCACAAATGCACTCTCTAAAGCTGACAAACGCTTACTTTAACTTTCGACGGAACAGCGTTTTGCGCTTCCGTCCAAATACGGCAACAGTACGGCAAGCCGGCCATAGTTGGCGTGTAACGGTTAAATCTAACAACTCTGATTTTACATCAGACAACGTTACTGTGGTTAGCCGGTAGAAGACAAATTTTTATCATAGGCTAAATGTCTATCGTTTATACCATGTACCGGATATATTGCATATTACTACTGTGTATTACTATAAGTACTACTTTACTCATACTTGTTAGAAATGTCCTGATTCAATTTCAAGTATGAAATCAGGTGACAACTAACACATTTTTATTTTTTCTCGATTGGTATCAGGTTAGTTGGGAATTACTTTTTTTTATGTTCAGTGCACCAAAGTTCATGCTCATTAATCCAGGTATAACTCCAACAGTGTTCAGTTCGGTCATCTGGATGGTTTCTTTTGTTGCTGAGACGTTTGATCTTTCATCCGAAGGTCTTCTTCAGTCTGAGGAGCCCACCAAACCAAACTGAATCCCACAAACGGCTCATTCCCAAAGTGGGAAAAAAAACAGTTTCCTGGTGATAAGATGGCCTCCAAGGCCTGCCCTCTGCCCCATCAACTCCCCTAAGGCAGACCATGCCAAAGTGGTTCCAGATGACCTGACTGAATACGTTCAGTGCAGTACTAAACTAGCATCTGAGTAATTAGACTTCAGGCATAGGTGTGGATTAGCCAAGATATTTCAAAACCAGTGTAGCAGCGTTGTTCTTTTATTTTTTTTCTTATGCCAAATGAAATGCAGAAACCAGGACAAGTTGATGAGATCAACTTAACCCAGAGTTAAACGGTTTAGCAAGATGCAAAAACAAAAATTAGTTTTTTCAACAACTAAAGACAGACAAATTTGCCAGTTTGAAAATGGTAGATTAAAGATGCAAACCCAGAGTTGTATTGAAGTAATCAATGTGAGTGGTTGTCACATATATATGGGATATTTGTGTTATCATGCATAATAAACACACAAGGCAGATACTTTGCTTACACAAATAAAATAATTACAACCTAATAATAATGCTGAATCAGTGGAGCACGTCCCTGATGAAGGTAATGGAAAATAGCATCACTGTATCATGTTCCAGTCAACAGCATGATGGTGATGCATTCAGACTCATTACAGTACAAACTGCTGTGTATAGTGTATTTATGGAACAGTTACCAGTTTATGTTATACTCTAGTTCTATTTCAGAAGTTGTTTAGATTATTTGCATTTTATATTTTCACCGAAAATGTAATACTAATTGCAAATGAAAACTAATGTTTAATTCTATAGAATAAAAAAAAAATACCTATAAGACATTCTTAGATTTAAAGATATATCCAATAAAGGCCAGTGCAAAAATGCAAAAACATTTACAGATAGTTTTTCTTCAAAACAAACCTAATAAACATCATGAACAGCAGTTGCTACTTGTTGCATAAAGAGCTACTGACATAAGAATGCACTGATTTTACTATATAAAGCTTAATCTTCAGAGATTTTTCAAGTGATACTGCTACTCTTTTAGCATTTAGTGGTTTCAGTGTCACTGAGCCACAAATAAAAACTGTCTAGACTCAGGATTCATTGTGTGTTGGGTGGTAGTTGCAGATATTGGGTGACATAGTGCTGCAGATTAAGTCAATATTCCATAACAATATTTCACTTGGTGATGCAAGTGCCTAATTTGGCATGAATAATTCATAGGACCTACTTTTTTTTTTGTTTGTTTTTTTAAATAAAATCATGGTATCCACGTGAAAATCAAAGATGGCCGTCATTTTTCAAGATGGCCACCATGTTGTATGAGAGAAACTGCTTTTTTCTTGTAAAATTTGAACGTCATTCATGCCAAACTGATCACAAAGCTTTAAAATGTAGTGATTGTGTCCGTTAAGTTTTCAATGGCAGTTTTTGTCTAATCAATCAAAACCCATGGGATATTTAAAGCAATAACACTGTTCATATCACAACCTCACATTGTAGTTCCTTATTTATGATAATTATGTACTTTTACATTTGCAATATTTAAAACTATTCAAGTTAGAATCCACAAAAACCTATATTTTGATGCAAAATTTGGGAATTGAAATTATTCAATCCCAATTCAGGTCAAAACCAACAAAATATAACTTCAGAAAGCAGCCATTCTTGAAAAATGCCAACTATGCTTTTTATACACGCATATTGTTTTTTTTGTTTTGTTTTTGAAAATACAGGTCTAGGAGACTCTTTGTGCCAAGTCTCATGCTTGTATCACCAAGTGGAAATTTGTTTTCCTAATCTTCAGCACTATTAGTAGCAGAAAATGTCTCAGAGAAGAGCCCACTAGATGGAACATCTCTGACTGGGGTGAGTTTGCTGTGTGCACATGTTCACTCTGTAGGCTGCCAGTGGAGACTAATGAATCATGGAGTGACATGCAGGTTTTGTTTGATCAAACAATAGTTGCCTCATTCTGTGCAATGTGTAAGGGTTTCATTGTGCATGCTGCTCAGATAACCTCAGCCTGTACGTGTTTTTGATTAATCAACTGTGAATATTAATGTTGCTGCAAAACATTTGATCTTATTTTAAAAGTACAACGATCAGAAAATGTGTTGTAGCAGATTTAAAATTGTAATTTACTGAACTTCTACTAATTTCTCTAAAAAATTATAAGTTATACACTCCAGGTTATCGAACAGATACAAATATTTACAGCAGTTTGCCCCATTTCAGCCATATATTCTTCCTTAACAGTTTTATTTATTTATTTTTGCACGCTTTAAATAAATCCTTATTTACTTTAGTCGAACTGCTTGCAAAATTTAAGACTTACAAAAAAAAGGCACACTGGTCTTGAATTTGTCACCTAATTAAGTGGCAGCTGGTACTAAAATAGAAAACCTCAGCCCATATGTTACTAAGCAGTAAAACTGCAGCAGTACCTCTAAAGAAAATGCTTCTTTTGGTAGATTCTTGTGCCTCTTTTGACTTTTTTTTTTTTTTTTTAACACCAAAAGGCTGAGTCTTTTTCATTTAGTTGTTGAATAGTTGTCGATACTAAGAGTTATCATGTAAGCATTTGTAGAAAACAAATGTTTATTTTATTTTAGCTTTTTGGGATCAAGCTGTTTAAGCTAAACGCTGATTCTATTAACCAACCAGTTGATTGATTGACCCTTACTTTAACTATTGGTAGCTGTAAAAATGCCAAATAAATCTTCATGAGAAAATATGTGTACACCGAAAGAAAACGTAAAACATGAGCAAAAGAAACATTAATTCAATTCGGTATTCAAAATATTCAAATATTTAACATATATTGACTTAAACCATTTAATTTCTACAAATTTCTGCTAACGATGGGCTGATCGTTCAACTCAAATTGATTTTTTCTTTATGCATGAGCTTGTATTGTTCATGAAATTTTTCAGTTACTTTCTACAAACTTCCATTAACAAACATGACAATTTTACTTTGTAAACCTTCTATATCTCGTAACTTAAGTAACTTTTAATGGAATATGACGTTTAATGTTTTTAATGCATCAACCTTATATCAAACCATTCAACTAACATTATGCGTAAGAGTTACCTTATTTTGAATTTAAACACACCCAGTGGCCCTCGCTTCATTAAAAGTCATGGATCCGAGCGGCACAGCGTACCAGGAGACGTGATAAATGATGTTTTCCTGGTTGTATCATCTTGCTTAGTCGAAAAGAAAAGTGCCAGAATAAGTGCTGTCAAAGAATCTACCTGCAGGAGCTCAGGGATTTTGCACAATAGGATTCTCCAGAAGGCTAAATTTCACTGTCTCTAGTGATGACTGACTCTGCCTGCCATTTCATTTTCTTGACTGAGGAGAGTGTACATATATAAATATAAAAAGAAAAACTTCCTCTCACCCCAGTGCTTTGTCACACTTCTTCAGAGGCAAAGTTTTTTTTTGTTGTATTTTCTCAGTTTCTCTCTAGCCTAAAAAGATATATATAAATAATTCTGTTTCACACAACAATAGAAGAACCTGGGGGCCTCCCACTGGAGTGCTCAGTGGCACTTTAGAAGCCTGTTGTTCTCTTATTCATAGAGGCAGTTTTTCTAGGTCTTTTTGAAATGTTGTACATGACCTCCTAGCTCTAATAGACGGTGTTCCCTTTTGCCACAGCTTGTTCTTAGGTACCAAAGCTGGTGTCAAAGAGGAAATGCCTGGAGCTCATTAATACAACATGACTGACACAGGTCAAATAGAATCAAGGCTTGAAAGTTGTCAAATGATGTATGTACTAAATTATTGCCCAACACACCCATTTCATTCACTTTCTTTTACCATTATACTCATGACTTGTTCTGAGTCTAAGTAGATCCCCTCTGAGCTTACACCTGGTTCTGGGGTACACTCAGTAGCAGCTGATCAGCAGATCTGAGAGACCGGGAAGGTGTGTACAGGTGTAACAGCTTGGAAAAGTAAGGAGGGCAAGACTGTTTAAAGATGTAAAAACAAATATAATAATTCTAAAATGGATTGACAACCAATGCAGGGATTTTGAAACAAGTGTAAAGTGACCAAATTTCGGCATGCCAGTTGAAAGACATGCAGCAGCGTTTTGCACCATCTGTAAATGGGCAACAACAGACCCACTGACCCCAGCATAAAGAGCATTATAATAGTCCAGCCGAGTTGTAACAAAGATATGGATCACTATTTCAAACAGATATCATGGAAGGATTGGCCTTATTTATGCCATTTGCCTCAGATGAAAGAAACTAGATTTCACCACTGCCTTTATCTGACTGTCAAATTTAAGGATACCATAAAATTTGATCCCTAATTTGTGACGGTTAGCTTGATAAAGTGAGCAAATGAACCAAGATCTAAGGAGGCAGAAGACGAGACATTGCAGAAAAACACATTGGTTTTCTTTTTGTTAAAATAAAAATAATTAGGGACATCCAGGCCGAAACTTCGACAGTCAAGCAAGTGTCTGACTGATGGGGCATCCTTTCTATTGAGAGGTAGGCAAACCTGTGTCATCCGCATGGTGGAAAGATATTTCATGCTTCCTGAAGATGAAACCAAGTGGAAACAGGTTTAGAGAAAATAAGAGGACCCAGAATTGAGCCCTGAAGAACGCCACTCAAAAGGGAAGCAGGAGAAGATCTAAAATCGGAGGCTGTCACACAATGTACGCCCTGATAGATGGGACCTAAACCACTCCAGAGCAATACCCCAACACCAACCAACTAAATGGGAGATTAAAATGTCATGCTCCACTGTATCAACTGTGGCCGATAAGTCTAAAAGCAGAAGGACAACACAATCGCCAGAATAAGTAGTTAAAAATATATCATAAAAAATTCTTAAAAAAGCAGATTCACTGTTATGTGAAGTTTTTAAACCCAACTGGAAAAACCTCAAGAATGAATGTCCAGAAATTCCAGATGGAATATAATGTTCCTAATAACAATAAAGCAAAGGGTGTTAAACTATGCGGTTTCATTTTGGTATACGTAAATATTTAAACCAAGCTTGTTTAAAGCCTAGCCTTCCTTAACACAATGCATATTGCTCACTGCCTTTCATACCAAAGTTTTAAACTAAATTAATCTATAATGAGAAATTATGAAGTTGCAGCCCTTTTAGTCAAACCTTGTACATGATCACATGTACAATCTAAAACAAAGAGTTCAAAGTTAGCAATTAGAGTATATCTTGGAGATGACTCTTCTATCACATCAAACTTTAGCATGTCTGTAAAACTGGCATAGTTATAGCCATTTGTATTTGATAAGTAGCTGTTGTGGCCATTATACACAATTTTTAAAATCTAAAAATGATCAAGAAGACTAGTTCAATAATCTTGCAAATAAAAATATACATATTAAAAATATTTTTTTGTCTCTTCTTCATTCAGGTTACAACTGTATTCAGCTGATGGCTATTATGGAACATGCCTACTATGCCAGCTTTGGATATCAGATCACAAGTTTCTTTGCTGCTTCCAGGTAAATGTTCTCGGCTATCTGCGGTAATGCTTTTATACGGCTTTGAAAGGTTTACTATAATACAATAAATCTTTCACAAAAATATATTCTAATGGTTTCTTTTTCTCAGTTAACTTTGCAAATTGAATAAACAGAGGATAAATAAGGTCCTCTTTGTACACAGTTTAAGGATCTTTTCAGGCAGGTAGTTCCAAACATCTTGAAGAATAAACCACAGATCGTCTGAATGTAGGCTGGGTCACATCTCTTCATGTCATCTGCTGTAGAATTGACCAGCCAGTCACCTCCTCAATCGCACTGCAAGACGGATAAGTGTATGTTTTGGGGTTTTTTTTGCATTCAAACATTTGTTCAGTACTTTATTATTCTTGGCAAATGCCAATTTTTATTTACAAAAATACAACCTCAAACTTGCAAGAAACCTTTTTCAAGATCTTCAGCAAACTTTCTTGCGTTACTGACAACTTTTTCACATTTTAACTCATCAGTCCAGAGGACCTGCTTCCACATCTGTACCACAGTTTTTAGATTTTAATGTAGAGCTGAGTTGCTTTATCTTGCTTCCACATCGGGAGTATGGCCTTTTGGCTGCAATTCTTTCATGATGACTACATCTGACCAGACTTCTTTGCACAGTGGACTGGTGTTCTTTGGTCCCACAGGTTTCTGTCAGTCCAAATTGATGGCACTGCTGGACTTTAGACTTTGAAAGAAAATAAGCATGATGTGTCTTTCATCTGCCCCAGTAAGTTTTCTTGGCTGACTACTGTGTCTACAGTCGTCAGTGTTGCCTGTCTTTTTGTGTTTATTCCAAGCAACCTGAACAGCACATTGAAACCCCAGTCAGCCTTGAAATCTTTGCCTGAAAGAGACCTTGCTGATGTGGTATAACTACCTTGTGTATTGTTACTGTGCTCAGTTTTGCCCTGGAGTCTGACCTGTGTCTTTCATAGCCTTACACTGGTAGCAGTTTGACTTTTCTCCATCTAAAAGTTGGGTTTCTGTTTTTTACTAGCCCATTTTGTCTATTTATAGAAATAAATGTATTTGTGAACATGTTTTTTTTTTTAAAACACTTTGTTGTACCTCTACCTCTTTTTGTTCTTTACAGACCCTATTTATTAAGTCAGGATTTTTATTGTCTGCAGTGTTTCAGCTGCAGCAATGCAATTAGTATTCAATGGGCTTCCAAAAGCATTGTATACTCATGCATAGGACAGAAGCTCATCCATATGCACATTTCATATCATTTGGCAGACAATGCTTGTGCATTAATTCAGAAATTACCACGTTGAACAACAATGCCGTCTGTCTCATTCCGTCTCTCTTCCCTAAAAGTAAAATAAAAAGGGAAATAAATGAATGCAGTGTGATATAGCCTCTTAGCCCCAGTTTGTTCAGCAACACTTTGGCGATCTATGAACCGCATCAGTAACCACAGGCCTTAACAAATCAACCAAGATTGAACTATGATGGATTATTACCTAAAAGTCTATTTGTTGCCAAGTTTCCCCATTTTAACAGTTTTTAATCTGTATTATCTATAACTTTGTGCTGTCACGAACTGAGCGAGCAACTTCAACACAGTCACCTCGAATCAAGGTTAGACAGTCTGACAACATCAACAATCTCTCTGTAAATACATTTTCTGTTAATCCATAGACTGGAGGGAATCATAGATAAAGATGGACCAGTGTGCGTATTTATCTTTTTTCAGAGTTTTTTTCTTCCCTGCTTGGAGTGGAGCTGAATGTAGTCTGTATATCACAATTTCACCCTTGATTAATCTCAAAAGTGTAGTTCAAAACCTTACTGGTTGAATACTGGGATGAGACGTAATCCTGTGTCATGTTTTGCTATCAAGTTGATTTATTTATTTTTTTTAAAGCTTGAAGGACAGAAGGAACGTTATTGGGAATTATGTGGAGTTTAATCAAAAAGGATCAATATTACACAATCTGTTGAATCACATATTTTAAGACCTTTTATAGTTTTGTGGAAAGTGGGTATTTATGTATTTAAGCTTGCACGTTTGGATGCAAATTATGTAAATTGCTTTTATGTCCCCCGTCGCAGCGCGAAAGGTGGGGATTGGAAATGCCATCCGTCCATTTATCCCTTCGCGCATGTCGTCAGCGCAATAACTTGGTAAATAAGTGAGGAACAAACTTCAATTTTTGTTTTTGGCTGCATCTAAAAGTAAGAAAGTTTCCTTTCAAAAATTGGTTTGCCACCCTAAAATCTAAGCTGACTACCACCATATACAGTATACATGTCAAATGTGTAAGCTGGATAACTTAAAAATGAAGCAACAGGACAGCATCCTTTTAGGTGTGTAGCTGCATCTAGGCATAAGAAAGGTTCCTGTGAAAAACCAGGTTGCAGTTAATTAGATTAATCACACTCTGAGGTTGTGATTAATCACGAGTAATCACTATGCTTAACTTTGTAAGCTTGAAATATAAATATGAAGGTTTTCATAAAATGTTGAAGAAAATGTTTTATTGTCTCAAACCAAACAAGTTTTCCAGGTTTTCATACTCGGCAAGGTTAACAGAAGTAATTTTGTTTCAAACATTAATTTATAAATGTTAACTCAAATGTCTCATTAAGTGTCATCTTTGTGATCAAATCATATAAACCGCAATGTTCCCCCTAGTATTTCATGTGTCTGGGCAAACACAAGCTCCCTGAGCCTCTGAGCATCCCTTTGCTTTATCTCTCCTCACTCCAACTACCTCCATGTCCTCTCTAGCTGCATCCATATATCTCCTCTTTGTCTTTTTCCTGCAGCTGTATTTCTAACATCCTTCTACCAATATACCCACTGTCCCTCCTCTGGACATGTCCAAACCATCTGAGTCTGGTCTCTCTAACTTTATCTCCCAGTTGTTCAACCTGTGCTGTACCTGATGATCTCATTCCTAATCTTATCCATCCTTGTCACTCCTAAGGAGAACCTCAACAGCTTCATTTCTGCCACTTCCAGTTCTTTCTCTGGTCTTTTTTGTCAATGCCACTGTCTCCAGACCACACAACATAGCTGGTCTCACCATTGTCTTAGAAACTTTTCCTTTGACCATCCAGATTTACACCGAGCACTGCTGTTGGCTAACACTTAACATGATTAAAATTGCTACAAGTCGTGGGATTAGCTGACTTACCTCCTTTGTTTGACGTTGTACAACTGTAAACTTCTGTGATAAATCCACAACGTCAAATATTATTCCTCAGTATGCGATGACATGTGTAGTCTAAAGCTGGAAAACACTAAAAGCCAAGGAGGTTGTTTGTAGCTATTTAGCTCCTTCGCACGAAGCGCCAAAACTCCAGAAGATGCTGATTGGCTGGAATGAAAGTTTGCCTGTGATTTCATTGGTTGAATTTTTGACCTCTTCGTAAACTTCCATTGTCGCTACGCAAATCACGTGACACAGGTCTGTTTTATCAATGGCGGTGGGGGTAGGGGGTGGGGATTCTCCATTCTGAACACATTTCAGAAAGGTTGTAGCGATCGCTGCGCTCTTCTTGTGCACAGAGAATGTACGAGCAGTGCGTGATTGTGCACGCACAGATTAGAGGGAATATTGAAACAGTATAGTAATGGATTAATCTGCATTATGTAATATTAACGAGTTAATCAGTTTAGATTTATCGCATGCGTTAACGCGTTAACGTTATGTCCAAAGTTATGTTCTCTGATGAAAGTAAATTTTGTACTTCCTTTGGAAATCAAGGTCCCAGAGTCTGGAGGAAGAGAGGCACAGAATCCATGTTGCTTCAGTTCAGTTCAATTCAATTCAAATTCAAAAATACTTTATTAATCCCAGAGGGAAATTATTTTGTTGTTGTAACTCGTTATCCTCATTTCATTAAGAGATGCCATAGATACTGATGGCTGTAGGCAGGAAGGATCTCCTGCAAAGGTCCACCCCACAGTGGATCCCAAGAAACTGGCCGCAGACGCCGTCCGATCCGCCCACTCAGACTCGGCTGGCCTCCCGGTTCCCCCGGACTGCAGGACCGCCCGAATGCCGGGCAGAACTCCTCCCAGAAGTCTGCCGAGCTCCTCATAACTGCGGACAGCCAACTGTAGGTGCTGAGGGACGATCCTGTTCTTCCGCTGTCGTGAGCCGTGTTTCCTGCTAGTTCCAGGATCTCAGCGGTCAGGCACTCGAGCACAGCTGGCAGGTAGATGAGAATGCGTCCATAGAACATCCTTTTCAACTCGTTTGAGAGTTGGGGCTGTAGTTGGGATATTATTTCAGCTTTTGAGATGTTATTCAGCTGCTGTTGTTGTAGAAAACTGCCTTGTTGCCATGGTTACGCATCATAACAAATGTCCAAAACTAAAAAAAGTTTCAGTAAAAATCCTTCCAGCTGCACAGCATTCGATACCAGAGGAAACAATCATCCAAAAAATGTGATTTACATCCAGAAAAAGAGGAATTAAAGTTTCCAAAAGCAAAATCTCAGAATGAAAGTAACAGAGCTGCTCCAACATGCAGCCACCTTGAGCGGCGCAATTCTAGAATTGAGGTCCAGTGTCAAGTTTCCACAGTCAGTGATGGTTGTGGGGGCCATGCCATCTGCTGGTGTTGGTCCACTGTGTTTTCTGAGGTCCAAGGTCAACGCAGCCGTCCACCAGGAAGTTTTAGAGCACTTCCTGCTTCCTGCTGCTGACCAACTTTATGGAGATGCAGATTTCATTTTCCAACAGAACTTGGCACCTGCACACAGTGCCAAAGTTACCAGTACCTGGTTTAAGGACCATGGTATCCCTGTTATTAACTGGCCAGCAAACTCACCTGACCTTAACCCCATAGAAAATCTATGTTGTATTGTGAAGAGGAAGATGCGATACACCAGCCCCAACAATTCAGAAGAGCTGAAGGTCATTATCAGAGCAACCTGGGCGCTCATAACACCTGAGCAGTGCCACAGACTGATCAACTCCATGCCACGCCGCATTGCTGCAGTAATAAAGGCAAACGGAGCCCCACCTAAGTAATGAGTGCTGTACATGTTCATACTTTTCATGTTCATACTTTTCAATTGGCCAACATTTCTAAAAATCTTTTTTTTAATTGGTCTTAAATAATATTCTAATTTTCTGAGATACTGAATTTGGGGTTGAATTTGGGGTTTTTCATTAGTTGTCAGTTATAATCATCAACATTAAAGAAATAAACATTTGAAATATATTAGTCTATGTGTAATGAATGAACATAATATACAAGTTTCACTTTTTGAATGGAATTACTGAAATAAATCAACCTTTTCATGATATTCTAATTTTATGATCAACACTTGTGTGTGTGTGTGTGTGTCTGTCTGTCCGTCTGTCTCTCTATATCTATCTGTCTGTCTGTCTGTCTGTCTGTCTGTCTGTCTCTATATATCTCTATATTTCTCTCTATTTCTCTATATATCTCTTTCTCTCTATATCTCTATATATCTCTCTATTTCTCTATCTATATATCTATATATACATACATATATATTCAAACCAGCCACCCCTATTATTTGAGGGAACTAGTTTTATTTTTTTCTTGTTTTTATATTGCTGAAAAGTATAGTTTTCTCAAATAATTGTGGTGGCCATGTGGGTGTGTGTGTCCAAGATTAATCTATGGTGGCCAAGGCCACCATTGGCCACCCCTGGACTCTGTCATTGCACCTGGTGTTGGATAATATTGCTCCTTCCACTTGCAAAAGTCCATCACTCTGTGCCACCTGACAAGAAAAAGACAGCTGGACAATAGGTTTTTGGTTCAGCTTTGGTTTAGATTAGATTTGTAATGAGAGTAAGTTGTGATAAACCAATGCAAACTCAATAGTTTGTTGTTTATTTCATATGTTTATCTTGTGTTCATGCAGTCGCTATGGTACCCCAGATGAGCTGAAGCAGCTGATTGATGTGGCTCACTCGATGGGCATTGTGGTGCTGTTGGACGTGGTCCATAGTCATGCCTCCAAGAACACAGAGGACGGCCTTAATCGCTTTGATGGGTCTGACTCATGCTTCTTCCACTCACCACCCAGAGGGGAGCATCTTTTGTGGGACAGCCGCCTCTTCAACTATTCCAGGTAGATTTTATCTGACTCTACTGTAGATACTAAAGCTGGTTTTCATATTTTTAATATACTGATTTGTTCTTTAATTTATGTGCATATGATTGTCTATTGTTGTCTTTGTTCACTGATGTAATCACTCTTTGTTAAAATCAGGTCTCTCTTGTAAATTCATGATCGAGACTCAATGGGATTAACCTGTATAAATAAAGGTTGAATGAATGGATATATTTTGCTTCATTAAAAGCTGTCATTGGTTCAATTTGTCTTCAATAAATGCAATGCCAGTCTATAAATTGTAATTTTTAATCTGCCATAGTATCAAAAAAATCTTCTTTTGAAAAATATATATAAAACAGTTGTGAAAATTTGTCTTCATCCTACCTCTGACAAACAACATGAACATTTATGGTAAAATTTAAAAAAATCTAGATCACCTATGCATTGAAATACATTAGAAAACTGAACTCAAGTAAATATTATTTAAACCACTTGGGTAAAATACCATTCCTTACTTTGTTATATATATATATATATATATATATATATATATATATATATTTTATATTTTTTTAATTTTTTAATTTTTTTTTTTGTTGTTGTTTGTTTGTTTGTTTAGTAATTTACTCAAAAAGTTTAAAAAATGTTCTGTACATGTTACTGCCTCACATTGAAAAACGAAAATATTTTGGCTAAATATAACAATTTATTACTAACAAAATCAGACGATTTAGAACAATCAGTTTGATCAGAGTCGTTTTAAGTCCATTGTGTTTAAACACAACAGCTCTCTTTTCTGTAGAGAGATACTTTGCTTTCTGTGCAAACCACGTTCCATTATGAATAATTTATTTAAGTAAAACCCAACAAGAAGCAACCAGAAAAAAAGGGCTGTGGGCATTGCCAGGTTTTTGATTAAGTAAATGTTGCACTAATCGGGTTAAAAGATATTGTTAATTAAAGTAACAATGTTCAGTCAGCTCATCTGGATGGTTTCTTTTGTTGCTGAGGCATTTCATCCTTCATCCGAAGGACTTCTTCAATCTGAGGAGCCCACGAAACCAAACTGAATCCCACAAACGGCTCACCTCCAGAGTGGAATTCTTTTGTGGGATTTAGTTTGGTTTGGTGGGGTCCTCAGACTGAAGAAGTCCTTCGGATGAAGGAAGAAACGTCTCGGCAACAAAAGAAACCGTCTAGATGACCTGACTGAACATTGCTGGATTTATACCTGGATTAATGAGCATGGACTTTGGTGTTAATTATAGTTGTTTAAGCAAAACCACAACGGCAAAAATTACCAATGAGTTCATATTCAGATGAACTGTCCATGTTTAAGAGTCCTGGAGGATGAGATGGGGGAAGCTGGGATTGAACCATCAACCCTCTGGTCAGCAGTCCATATTTTTTGTCAGGCCAACAGGTTTAAACAAATATGAAACGTGAACAATTTGTTTTTGCACCATGAGAACAAACAAATCTTCAAAGCTACTCATTCGTGCCACTGAAGATTGAAAGTTTTAGTCACATCAGTTTAACTTACCCAACACATATTTGCACAGTTAGGATAGTTGGTTAGTCATTTACCCTTTTTTTTAAATTAGTCTGTCACTACATAAATAAATTTCTCTTCAAAGATTTAACCACATTTTGGCAGATTTTAAATTCCTCAAATCTTTGGGAAAAACAACAACACCTTTTTATTTCAAATGAAAAGTTGAAATGCCATTTACCATGCAACTGAATCCAAATACTGTCACTGTGCATTAACACAGCTTCCTTTACCATTTTCTTCCTCTTTATACCACTAGAATTTTCATGTAATTAAGTCATTTTTTTCCAAGCTTTTAAGCCCAATACAAGGAACTGCCCATTGATTGCTGCAATTTCAACTCCTCAATTATGTTCTTGCAGCTGGGATTAAGAGCAGCAATTTAATGCTGCGCATTGCATTCAACTCATGAAGGACATTTCAGATTTTCCCTGGTTACATCAGATGTATAAATGAGCAGTGAGGTTTTGCTGTGGTTCATGATGTAAAATGAAAATGAGCAATATTTAAACAGGTTGATAAATGAGGCCAAATGGGAGCTGACATCCCACTCTGTATCCTCTCCCAGACAGTCTGATACAGAGCGATATGTTGAAGGTCAAAAGCATGATATAATCACAAAGATGACACATTAATTCTCTGAACGAAATGCCCACAAAGTCCCGTTGACTGTCAATCTGACAAACCCGATGTCCAAAAGAGGCTTTTAATGGCAAATTTAAGTTTCCAATGATTTAGACTTTTATCTTTTCACACATGCCCTGGCAGGTGTTGAATTTTAATGTGCTATGAATAATGAATTCACCCTAAAAGCTGGCTAAACTTGGTAATTTTCATATCTAAGCAAAATTTTGAAAGTGTCAAAAATGATGAAATTCCATCAATTGCCTGGCTGTTTTTTTTATTTTTTATTTTATCTCGTTTACTATTCACCAAACATACCAACTGGGTGTTGTTCCAGGCACCGTTAATTAGGTGTTTTTCCTGCGTCTGTACCCCCAAAAATAATCCCAGCTTGCAATGAGGGAGGAACAGACCGTGTTAAGTCTATCGAATGACTTTTTGAACTTACTTTTAATAAGCGTGTGTCACTGTGCAGCAGTTTCCAATACATTATACAATGCTTAGTGTCAGGCATGCGGGGTATAATAAGAGAACAAGGTTCTTCTTTCATTAGTTATTGAGCCGTCTTCATATCAGAGGCACTCATTAGACGTGGTGCGGACATATGCTGCGACTGGGAGGCATATGAGGAATCATTTGTAAAAACCAAAGGACCACTGCAATGTCATAGCCTGTTCATTTGTCTTCTTCGCCTGCCACAGGATGTTTGGACACGTTGTATGTGTTGAGCTTTCTTGAACTCTTTGGAGGGAAATGAACCTCAGAGGCAAACTGTGAAGCAGTGTGTCTGTATTCAAACATCCTTTCTGCTAGCCATAACTATCTGACCATGATGTTCATATTACTTTGACAGAGGCTGGCTGATACAAGCTGTGACCTTTATATATGTGTATTTTTGTTTCCTTGCTGCTGCCTCTTCTGCTCTGTTTGCACTGCTGCATGTTTATCAGGAGGACCCCTTTTTGTTGCTTTGTGTTCCACTTCAGCTTTTCCTCATAAAACATTCAGCACAGACCTGGAGAACGCTGTCTAAAAAGATTCCTGCCATCTAATTTGTAAAGCTGAGCCGTCTTTGAGTCAAATGCATTGGCATTCAGCGTTATGACGGTCTGGCTTGACAAACGTTAGTTGTAGGAGGTAGACATGCTAAAGTTAGTTGTTGTTTTTTTAGATACTGGATGATAACTAAATAGTTTTACTGCCAATCAGGCCTTATATCTGAATACAAGTGAACCTGACTGAGCTAAGATGCGGCGTATTGGGAGAATTTGGGGATTTAAAGAAAATCCTCCATTTATTTGAAGACATGTGTATCACCTGACATCTTTTATGCCGGAGTGTTTAACTAAAATCATATTGTGTTGGGAAGGGACAGTTATAGCTGTTTTGCTCAGACTTACAAAGGATGCAGAGCTACTTGTAGGCCTGTCACAAAAACAAATTTTGCTGTGCGATTAATTGTCTCAGAAGTTATTGCGATAAATGATAATATTGTTTGAAATTTGACATTAGTAATTATTGTCAAGTTTAAAAAGAAATGTTGGTTAATTTGTTTTGAGAGTAGGACCTTTTTTTGACCACCGGATGGCAGTATAAGACTGAACCGAAGGATGGATAGTGAGGGAGCGAGCAGCGTGCCTCTATAAGAAAAATGGGAGGGAGACCCGTTGACGTGACATGGGCTGTTTCACTTTCCTGTTTTTTGGTTCTCAAAATGGCGGATGCTCGGTGTGGTTTGAGCTCTTTAGCATAGCATTTTTCACACAAAGCTTTTAATAAAAATCAAGTTATCAGTTTCTTTTTGCAGAGAAAAACAACTTTTTACACAAAGGCACGGGTTTCAACCGTGAATTTTGGAGCTTCGACAAGACGGAGGTTTTTTCCCTGAGGCCGGCCTGTTAGCTTAGCTCATAGCTTAGCTTCTCAGCTTAGCTGCTTTTAACGATCCAAAAACATGATTTTGGATTGTTAAAACATATTTTAAAGAGAAAGGGAGGGGTCAGTGAAGAGTTGAGCCTTTTGTCATCCATTGTTTTCTGTAGAAAGAGAGATACACGAAGAAACGATCAAGCCGATAAATGAAAATGAGGTCACTAATTTTCATTTATCACGATTAATTGTTTATTGCGACAGGCCTAGCTACTACCACATAATATCAGTGAATTTGACTTACTGTCTTTTGTGTTGACTAAGTTGGATTAGCTGTGGTGGTCTTCTGGAAATGGGTTAACTCTGATCAATTCTAGTTGTTTATCCAATGATTACTTTCTGAATGTTGCAATAAACTCTGTCCAGTGATTCATGAGATACTCCATCAGAAATAGACTCCAGTAGTTAGTGACAGTTTTAAAAGTTGATCTCAGGCAATCATTGAGATATTGGAGTATAAGTTGTGGATGAGTCACAGCTACCAACTCATCAAATTTTAGCTCAGTATCTGTAAAATTGTTTGAATTGTGGCCATTTTGTGTTTGTTATGGTTGATTGGCAGTTGCAGCCATCTCTAAATCAGATTGACTCCTAAAATAAATCAGTTGTACTTCCTGTGTTTACTTAATTATAGTTTCACAAAAATCTATCCAGTGGTTCATAAGATATTTTGCTAACACATCAGACGAACACCAAACACACAAACATGGGCATAAACCGTCTTGTTTTTACAGCAGATAATAATAAATGTCTAAGTTTTTCACATTTTATGTTTGGTGCTCTAAACTGTGAAAGAATAATGAAAGTTTCAAAGTCTTTCAGATTAAGATTGACATCAAATAACATTTGCAAATTGTATGTAATAGATGCGATACAGAGCTAACTAAAATACTTTTAACACGCTAAGAAG